GTGGCCGATTTGGAATCGGCCGTAGCCGACTAGGAATCGGCCGTAGCCGACTGACATTCGGCTATCCCCTGGCCAAAATCGGCTGCTTTGTTTGCACAATCGGCCACTTTGCAAAATCGGCCGTTTTTTTTTGCGTCCGTTTTCCGGCCGAAATTTTCAGAAATCGGCTCTTTCGGCCGCGGCCGATGGAGGACAGGCCTAGAGCCGGAGCCAACAATACCGCAACAGGAAAAAGCTCATCGCGCAACAAGTGACAGCTATGGCACGAACCATGGGAGCGTTTTTGTCGCGGGCACGGCAGCAGCAGCAGCAGCTGGAAGAGGAGCAGAGTTTCTCTGTCGGTGGCGAAGTTGGTCCAGTAGAGGAGCCAGCGGAGAGTTTAGAGGTTGCGCCGCACACGTCTCCCGGCGGCGCTGGCGGCGGCGCGTGCGAACATGCAGAGGCCGGCAGTAACTGCGGCAGCCTCGGCGACATGTCGATAGATTCGGGCCATGGGCTTGGCGTAGAGGAGTGGTGTAGCCGTCAAGAGTTGGAGGACGCCGAAGAAGTGCTGGAGAACTACTGCGATACCTCATCATCAGCCGGTTATCTTGACGGTTTGGATTTCAGCAGCAGCAGCAGCGGCGACAGCAGCTCTGACGAGAGGGTTGCCACTCCCACGCTTCTTGGCAAAGAGACAGTCGACGTTCGGCAGGGGGCGGGGGCGAACGGTGAGGGTGGCGACAGTATGCGAGGTGGTGGAGTGCCCTCAGCCTCAGAGCTTGCCCACCAGCGCCCTCCCGCCGACCCGAGAGGGTCGTTACAAGGGTGTGTTTGGTGCACCCACGCGCCAATACCGGTGGGACAGCCGCAAAGGTGGGGCAGGGAGGGGGGCAGGGAGGGGGCACAAGACCATGATGCCGGAGGAGGTCCGCGACAAATCGAGTCTCGCCTCGGCACAATTCAAGAACACCAAGAGACTACGCCGCGCCAAGAAGACAGCGCCGGTAGAGCGGAAGACATTGACGCCTGCGGCGCTGGCTCGGGCGAGGGGCCGAACGCTGAAGCACTGGTCGAGGCGTAAGGCAGAGCTGATGGAAACCTACCGCAACGCCCACGACAAGCTTCAGAAGGTGAGACATGTGGTAACAACCACAATTGGCAGGCTCCAAACCCCGAAGTTCACAGCGGAGCGGACGTGCTGGGGGCAGTACCTAATCTTATCAACGACAGCGAACCGTAAATATTTCTTGAGGTTTTGAGCGTCAGACACTCGCAGTCTTATCGCCTGTTCTTAACACTGCTGTGGCAACCCATAAGGCGCCACCGCCACGCTTCATGTTTTTTGGTGCTGTTTTTTTTTGGCTTCGATCTCGAAAGCTACGGTAGAGACGAGATCGCCTCAAGTTGCAGCTGACGGCAACACCTCGAAAACGCACGTGAGCTTCCTCCTTCGCCATAGGCTGAAGAGATGAACAATTACGGATCAGTGGTGGAGGATTCGAAGACGCAGCTGAATGAAGCACACGTGGTTCACACCACCCGTGTTGTTCGCGCCGTGAAGCATTTCTTGCAACTCGAGTGAGTGTGGGCGGGGAATTTGCAGTACTGCCTTCTCNAGAGATGAACAATTACGGATCAGTGGTGGAGGATTCGAAGACGCAGCTGAATGAAGCACACGTGGTTCACACCACCCGTGTTGCTCGCGCCGTGAAGCATTTCTTGCAACTCGAGTGAGTGTGGGCGGGGAATTTGCAGTACTGCCTTCTCCTGTCTTTCGTCTCCTCCGTTAGCACCTATTCGTTGGAGCGTGACCGTTAGTAATGTTGCATCACGGGCGCTTCATGTTGCTATCGGGAACTTGCTGCTGTGCGACGGTGCTGTTTGATAAAAGGATACTCAGTTTACCCCCGAAACGAAAATAACGCCCCGACCTAACGACAGAATCCGAGATGGGGTCACGAAAATGGCGCACAGCAGAGAAGTAGGCGAGGTGTCCGAGGTCGACCCGACGACAGTGCGGCGGTGGGTGAAGGAGTTTTGCAACGGCGGCTCCTTCGTTGTTCGCAAACGGCAGTACAACAAGCGGGAGGCGCACTCCTACATCGACGACGAGGACGTCCGCTACCGCCTGAGGGAGTACATCGACCGGAGGCTGTACCGGCGGAAGAAGAACGAGCCACGCCTTCGAATCGCAGACGTGCAAAAGTGAGTGTGGTTTACAATAGGGGAAACGGAAGCATGTCAGTTGTTGGTGGAGGTGCGCACGCATGCGCGAAATTATTGTGGGAGGCAAACGGAGAAAGGGGACGTCGAATATAAGGGACATGATGCTATTCGTGTGTGTTTTTGTGCCCTATCAACAACGCGACCCCCCTCCACCTTTGACCCCGCCCTCCACCCTCTTCCTACAAAATATGAGCGTCGGAATCAACCTTCATCCCAACTCGGGACGGAGTTCTTCGCTGCAGTTAATCCCTGACTTCGGAACGGAGTTTCGTGCTTGCGGTGTACATTTTCAGTTGACCGGTGACTCCCCCCCTCACTTCAGTTTCCCGTGGTGAACATCCGTCTCATGTATGGGAAAGAAACTCCTCCCGACCCTCCCAAGTCGTTGCCAGTTGTTTTCGTGGCCTTTTCCATGCACTCATCCTGCAATGTGTCCACTTTTCAACAGGTGGATCCATGAAGATCTACTGAAGGAGGAGCTTGCCGGTACGAGAGGAGTTTCTTGGAGGACCGTGCATAAGTGGATGCAGAAGCTCGGCTTTCGTTGGTCGAGGCACCACAAGTGCGTTTACGTGGATGGCCACAACAGACCGGACGTCGTCACCGACCGTCGGAGCTTTGTGGCGTTGCTAAAGCGCCTGCGCCAGAAGATGTCTATGTGAGAAACAAGAGTCGAAAATGCAGCAGTTGGTGGCTTGGGGCGTTTTTCATGAGCCTGGGATATCGAACACTCCGAGAGTCGTGTCGTGAAGTGTCACATTCGGTGTACCGCTCTTTGTTGTCCGCCTGATGCCCACCGTGACATCCCCCCGCACATCCAGCACTTAAAACGTCTCGTGTATGTTGTTGTGGTTCAAGATTCCCGCCTTCCCAAGAACCTACGAGGGGACAGCTTCTGTGTGTGCCGTATTTCCGTATTTTTTCATGTTTTTTTTTCCAGCTTGTCAAGGGTGACCTGCATCTGTTCCCCTCATTCCTTTGATTCGAAAACAAACAAGAACCAAACTGCGAATGGCTGGTGCTCACGGTACCAAGCCACCTCGTCGTTTTGTTGCTGCTGACTTTGTGTTTGCCCCGTTCGTAGCCCTCTCCGCGTGGAAGAAACGGTGATGACGGCGACCAGCCGCGGTGAAGCCCGGCAGGAGGGAGCATCGGATGACTCGGACGTCAGCGGCGACGAGCGGGGCGGCGGGGCCAGGTCGGAGACGGGCGATAACGAGCATCCGACCGGGGCGGCGACGACGGGCCGGGAACCCCTCTTTTGGCCAGCAGTGCGGACGGTCGACGGCAACAAGGAGTACACGCACGTGCGCGTCTACGGGGATGGCGAGACGACCAAGCGCGTGGAAGGTGACTGCACGCGTGTTCCGTTCGACCCGCGCGACTTGGCGGCACCCGACTCCAAGGGCGACTATCACCTGCTCCCTGATGACGAGGTGAAGGCGTTCTACCGACCGAAGAAGGTTAAGCGTGAGGCGCTTTTCTGGCCAGCAGTGCGGACGGTCAACGGCGAGGAGGACTACACGCACGTGCGCGTCCACGACCCCCCGCACGCTCGCGGCAGGGATTGCGTACGTGCGCAACAGCTCGAGGATTGTCCGTGCGAGCAGAGATCGCTCTACGGCAAGTGTTCGTGCTACCTCCGATGCGAGTGCTACGACTGCAGCCGCGAGCCTGTTTTCGACTCCACGCAGGTCCCGTTCGATCAGCGCGACCTCATCGCCACCGACGGCAAGGGAGACTACCGCCTGCTGCCCGATCACGAAGTGTTGTCGCTGCTTTTCCACGATGAGACCACGACGAAGGAAAACGACGATGGGGACCACCAATGGATTTCGGCGACGAAGGGGGCCGCCATGAAAGTCAAGGGGCAGGGCCGCGCCGCGCACGTCTCGGATGTGATCGGCGTCGACCTTGGACAGCTGCAGATCAGCGAGCAAGCGTGGGGCATGATGCAGGAGGACTACGATGTCCTTGAGGGGGGCGAACGCCCCACTAGGGGGCGCTCTGGAAAGTACCTCGGCAGGACGGAGGGTGAGGGGGCAACTGGACACAAGGTGAAGGAGGTTCAAGAGGCGGTGGATCTGCTCAACAAGACTGCTGCAGACTGCGAGGTGCTCAAGACAGCGAACGACCCACGGACGGCTGTTGTCATCATGACAGTTGGGAAGCAGCAAGATGGCTACTGGACGAGTGACCGCATGTGCGCCCAACTGCCGGCGGCTCTCGCCACGTTCGAGCTGACGAATGGGCCGCACCGGCAGGGTGTCTTCATCTTCGACAACTCCACCGGGCACAACGCTTACGATGACGACGCGTTGCTGGCCCACAAGATCAGCTTGGCGCCGGGTGGGGAGAAGACTGCGCTCAGGGTGTTCGAAGATGACAACGGGAGGATGGTGCACCCTACATTCCAGGATGGTGACACCCTGCTCACCGACAAGAAGATTTTCTTGCCGAAGACACCGGAGCAAAAGAAGATCAAGGGGCGCAAGCATGGGACGGGGCTCGATAAAAAGCAGTACCCTGTCGGAACCAAAGTCACGCATGGATCGCCGCTGCTTGGGCTCAGCAAAGGAGGTGAGCAGATGCTCAAGGAGATGGGGTTGTGGCGGCTTGACGGCGAGAGGGCGAAGGGTCTCGTCAAGTGTTGCAACAAGTGCAAGGCCGAGAACGCGGCATCACGGCAGGCGATTGCAGCTTTCAACAAAGGAGGGGAGGAGCGGGAGAGAGTTCTAGAGCAAGCGCGGAGGGAGCAGCAGAATTCTCCCGCCGGAGATCCCGCGGCAGCGGGAGGGGCGGCTGGAAGGAGGCAGCGATGCTGTATGGAGAGGGTCTTCTCTGACCTGAGGGCTTTCAAGGCGCAGCTCAACAAGGTCGAACAGATCTTCAAGAAGGCCGGGCACGTGTGCATTTTCCTTCCCAAGTACCACCCTGAGCTTAACGCTATTGAGCTGTACTGGGGATACGTCAAGCACTATCTTCGTCTTCACTGCGAGTACTCCCTCACCCACATGCTCCAGATTCTGCCGGGCGCGTTGAGTGGCTTGCCGTTGGCACACATCCGCGCGTAGAGTAGGGTCGTGTGGCTGTACGTTGAAGCGTACGACGAGGGGATGGTGGACTACCTCAAGGACCGCGAACTCAAGGAGTGGAACACGCACCGAGAAGCCACCCAGAGAGGGGATGCCGTCGTGGAGGCAACGGGAGGGCGCAAAACACAAGCGGAAAAGGACGCCGCGGCGGCGCAGGCGTTGGCGGCTTCGCAGGAATGCCGAACCTTCTCCGTCAGGAGGGCGAAAAGGACATTCAAGAAGTGGAAGCAGGAAAAGGAGAAGAAGCGGGCCATGGAGCAGGAGGGAGAGGAAAAAGAGGCCGAGAACGATGCGTAGTGATGTGTGTCTTTTAGTGCTGCACAAAATTTTGCTTAACAGCTTGGCCGAGGTTTGTTGTGTTGTGTGCTTGGTGCGTGTTTCCCTTTCTTCGTGCCGATCTTGTATACGGAGTATTAGCAATATACAGCAGTAAACAATACTGCTTTATAAATATTTTCGTTTGTGTGTGCAGAGATTCGTCAAAGTTATATAGAAGTGATGGTATTTCTCCCTATGGGTGTCGTCGACCAACTTTTCTTCGTGCTATCTGTACAAATCCAATCATGTGGTGTCCGTAGTGTACAAAAGCAGGCACTGAGAAGGGTGGTGGGCGTCCCGGGGGGAAGGTTAGGGGGCTCCGTGGATGAATTTGCGGGAGGTATGTCGTGTTTAGGGGGCTCCGTGGATGATTTTCGTCAAAAATGTTGCATATCGCCGAAATTTAAAAAAAACTGCAGCTATCGACGTATCTCGACGAGGCGGTCACGACTATCGTTGTTTCACGTTCCCATTCTTTCTCGAAAAGAAGTTATCGCACAAAACGTAATCGGATAAATTGTTGTGCACGGACCGTACAAAGAGGTACAAAGACGACATTTTCACTGTACGATATGGTAACCAGAGTGGACCAACGCGGAATTCAACGAAAATAATGTGCCTACCATATTACGATGGAAACGAATGAAAAATAAGGCATTTAATAGTATGTAGCGATGCAAAGATGTGTGGGCAACCGCATATTTGACAATCAAAACCGCAAGAGGGAACACTGAAAATGAAACGTGTCCCTTGCAAGTAGAGTGAGAAACTTACGACCGACTTCCTCGCCAAAATTCCCACGCATCCAGGTGACAATGGCAAATACTGGAAATGCCGAAATGCCGCCAAATGACGCCGGACCAGAATTCTACCCTTCAAAGAGTCAGCCAAGTATGCACTTCAAAGAGTCAGCCAAGTATGCACATGAAGGAGCGCACACGCAGCCATTCGTCTGAGCTACTCCCCCACCTCTCCTGGTTCTCGGAGCTAGCCGACAATTCGGATCCGGCCGTTGTGCGATACGTAATCATCTCCGTTAGGATTTGAGAAGGACGGATTCTAAAGCTGTAGGGAAACACTGCGCCTGTTCGCTCCTTCCTACTGCTGCTTGCGACTGACTTGGGCCCCCCAAAACTCCGACAGGTACGAACAAACTCCTTCGTTTGTGGTCGAAGATGAACTGCGTCTTTGTACAAGCCCAACATGCCACCATGCACAACATACTGCTGCTGCCGTTCACCTGTCGCCGCCCTTCCACGTCTACCTGTCCATGACACATTTGCCACTTGATGCGACAACATCTGGGAACAACACGTTCACAGGGAGTACTCCCCGTACCCACACACAACACCGTCAAAACTGCTTGTAACCTAGAACAACCTATCATTCCTCCTCTCTTCCCACACACTTTTCTTCCCTTTTTGTCTTTTAGTCTTTTTCTCTCTTTTCTGTGCAAGATGGCCTTGTATCTGCTTGCGTTGTGATGTACCAAGATTGAACCAAGGGGGTGTACCTCATTCTCTCCGGCCCGTGATGGTGACCCTAGTCTCAGTTGTTACCTCGCATAAGCGCGCAGAAGGAATGGAGGACTACTCGTGGTTAGTTACTAGCGCAAGGAAGCAGGGAGGGTGTTCGTGTGTGCATGAGCGGATGAGAATATCCCAACGGGACTGTAGGAAGTGGTGACGCAGATAGGAATTGATAGTCCCCTGTGTTGGTTTCATGGTTGATCCACAGGGCTCGGCCCTGCGGGAGTGCTTGTTGTGTCGTGGCACTCTTCCTCTCCCGCCGCGTCCTGATCGTGTCTGCTGTCCTAAATGCAAGTGATACCATGATCTTCAACACACATACATGGGTATACTAACATCTGCTTCCCTCCCCCAGTCACGGCCGGGCTTGGCGGGGCACGTGTTTCAACACCTGAATATAGAGCGTTCGCCGTAGTGCTCCTTCCGGATGTCAAGGCTTGCCGCTCCCCCCGCGCACGCTCAGTGAAATCCCGCTCCGTCGAGATTGCCAGCATTGATGAGGGCGGAGCCTTTGTTTGGCCCTCTGTGGAGGGCATTCTCAAGAGGTGGAGATATTCGCGCCTGGTGATGATTGCGTATGTTCAGACTTCCGTCGGAAATGAGGTGCCTCCCATTCTAGACTATACGTGTGACTCGTAGATGGCCATCCGCCTGTTTGCTGGTTTCTCGTCTTGGCACCGACCTCTCAGGCGGAAGGAGCGGCCTCCGTCCGAGATGTGGTGATATTCCCGCGTTGTGTCAACTGCAACCCTGAGAATGTTGCTCAGTTCAGCTTTGCTGGGAGTGCGGGGCTCGCCCGCTCTGTGGCACTCCCTCCCCGCACCTCGGCTCAGGATCACGCGTACTAATCGATCGCCCTAGACTGCAAGCTCGCGGTAAACACAGGGTAGCAGACGAGATCGACCTCGTCCTTCCGTCGTACTCGGTTTGACACACCCCCAGTAGTGTGGGAGATCGTGCAACACGGGTGGGCATCGCTATTGGACATTTCAGTGCTGTCTCGTGGGGAGTGTTGGGTTACCGCCGAGGAATTCAAACATCAAAGCGAGAGTACGGCGACGTGTTTCGCGACAATACTCTGTGTGTTGGTAAAGTATCCATGTATTCGCACAAAAAACACTAAATAGAAAGTGCGTGGTCGATCACGCCGCGCAGGCTTAAATGTCCAATTGTTCCCATGCCACCATTGAGTTTTTCTTGTGGAGTGGTGATATGATGCTGACCTCTGTAGTGTTACGGACTTCTGTTCGTTCAGCGATCATACAACAGGTGCTCACCCTATTACGTTGGAGACGCCGCGAGTCATCACTGACTTTCTGGGAGGAAGTGTTAGGGAGGACCCGATTCGCAGGGTGTCCGTCGATTGACTTTTGTCTGAATCGGTACACCTTCGCATACACAGAATTTACCCTCACCTGGGAACCTCTTGCGGCCAGGATGGGTAGTTCGATGGAAGTGTCGCAAGGTTCTTTATAGGATCGACTCCAAGAGGTGTTCTCAGGACTGACACACATACTCTCCCCCCCCTCGGCCTGCTCCCCGGCCGGGGCCGAAATCGACCTAGTGAGTCCCTCGCGGGCGAACCAGGCCACAACAGATAGTAGGCGGGTGGTGTCCCAAGGTGCAACTCACCGCCGCGCTGGCTCAGCGTGGCGGTGACGATGCACAGGCGGTGGTAGTGACGAGAGGTGTGTATGGACACTGTTCCCGCGGCAGAAATGCAACGCGGCAACCTGCACCTGGCAGCCACCGTCGCGGAAAGCGTCGCCCACGAAGCTGGAGGAGTAGAGAGATTCGTAAACACCACGTCAGTAAGCACCGCTCGCGGGAGAAGGGAGACAATCGCGGGCACCGCGGGGAGGGAGTGCTGCACCCTCCTCGTCAATACACCACAGGCAAGAACCGAGCTCTGCAGAGATGGATTGATGCGAGGAAATTCGCCGCTTGGAAAATACGGAAGAAAGGACACCCGCAACGCGAGATGGACCGAGCGAGATACGAGACCGCAGCGGCCGTCAAGGCGGCTGCGAAGAAGAAGGCACGAGAGGGCGACCTATCGTTCGGCACGTTCAACTTACGCACGCTCCACTACAGCGATAGGAACCCCATCGGTCACAACGTGATGACGGTCATGCAGATTTGCTCCGCGACCGGCTGTGATGTGGTAGGACTTCAGGAGAACCGACGAGATGGGCAAGGTTCAATTCCACACGACGGGTACGTGATCATCTGGAGTGGCGCCCGTGCTGGCACCAAGGACAAGAGGGGCGTACACGGTGTGGGCATAGCGATCAAGGAGGCCATGTGGGAGAGTGTGGGCGAGGAAGGTAGGACGGTGGAGTGCATTAGCCCGAGGCTGATGAAGGTGCGTCTACAAATTGGCCGCACCTGCGGAGTAACTTTCGTGGTGGGGTACGCCCCCACGGAAACTGTCCGCACCACCGCGGGCGGTGATGTTAACGCCAAGGACTCCTTCTGGACTGCTCTCGACGCAGCGATCCGGGAGGTTCACAGCCGTGACCATCTCCTGGTGCTAATGGACGCCAACGCACGCACTGGTAGGAAGCGAGACGGGTGCTGCGAT